ATCACATATTTCCTCAAGATGGAAGAAGATTCTCTTTAAAAGTAGTTTTGTCCCATGCCTAAAGCTTGAAAAATTCCCTAGGGGCTGGCATCAGGGCTCAATACATTGTTGTATTCCTACAGATACTTCTTTCTAACCACACAATTACAAGTACACCTATTGTGATTCCAATACAGGGTGAAAATAGGAACAAGCATCCATATACCTACATGTATAGATTTATTGTGGACAACTTGTTCACTGTTTAGTAAATCCTTTTTTCTAATTAATAAGTTTTTCCAGTTTCTTTAAGAAATAAATAAATAATGTAATAAGACACCATCACTTGTTAGCCAATAAAAAACCAGTGAAATTATAACAAACTTTCTATCCCGAATGACTGCGATATACAATACAAAAACCAAATTTGATCACCAATGAACATAATATTTGAATAAAATAACTAGAATGCATCTAAACCAATGGTTTGCCACAAAACATAAGCCAAAATCCAATAAATGTAACATTACAATATAAAATTACTCCTTTCTAAACAATGTACACGTATTAATATCCTCTTAGGATCTGACAGTAGCCAATGATCCCAAAACTATCTAATATAAACTTCTTTTCCAAGCATTCACATAAACTTGTAAAGTCTCAAAGTATTCTACAATTTCAAAACCAGTGCACACATATATAAACTTAACCTTTTTTTATTACAAAAATTCCTTCTTTTTTAAACATACAAATGTACTATTACCTTATACAATTCTACATACTCTCCATTTCTAACCTAGGGCCCACTACGTGTACGCTTAATAAAATTCATTTTTAACAGTGCAAAAGTACTATAACCATGTATGCCACCATCTCAAACCCGTGTACACTTATAAATTTAACTTTTTATGAATTTACACATTACCCATCCACCTCATAGCATTCAACAACAATCTCCTATTTTGAAACCGGCACCATCAACATATAGTCTTCAATAATAAAAAAATAATAATAAAAAAATAAAAAAATCATTTTTTTCAACAATACAAATGTATTATAACTCTTGAAAGTTCACACAGAATATATAAAAAAAATAAAATAACCTAAAAAAAAATTACCTTGCTAAGCATAACAACAAGAAAACCATCTTCAGAGACTTGTTATCAGCTAAAGTTGTCTCATCTTTCAACACTTTACCATTGTGAATTAACAACTGTTGCCCACAAGGGTAATTGTCTTTCCTTACATCTTCTATGTTCTTCTGACAGCCATAACCTTTGGTTCGACATACCAAAAACGACAAGTCATTTCATCAGTAAACGACAATAAAACACTACTAACAAATAAATTTCTAAATTCTATTCGCATAATTAACATAAACTGATAGTGAAAACGACGACGTACCGTATCGGAAGGTGAACTTAATCTCGAAATGGTGCCCTTGAGAGTCTTTACAGTGAGCTTCATTTCGGCGAATTGGGAAGAAGGATGGGTCGAAACGACAGCGGTTTAATTCGAGTTATGTGTAGTGTAGAAGAAGAGAGACAGAGAGCCCTAGAAAACGCTTTTTAAGTTTTGAGGGAAGGAGAATAAAAGGAAAATGGTATATATTAATAACTCCCTAAAGTTATAGAAATACACTGAACCTTTAAAGTTTAAATAAATGGATGATTTTGATAAGTGATTATATTCAAATATCAGATAAATTCTTTTACTTCCATTTTTTTTTTTTTTTTTTTTTAATTTAGAGGGAAAAAAAAGTTTGTTGATTGAGAAAGTCTTCTCGTATATAGTCAAATATTATTTGTTTCTCGTTTCCAGAAATTAAAGTTTTGAAGAATTCTAATGTTGAATTTGATTTTGCAAAGGCGAGGTCATGATTTATGGGTATAAAAAAAAAAAAAAAAAAAAAAAAATTGTAGTTTAAGTTAAGTTTGGAATAATTGTATAGTTGTAACATAATGTGTTATTTAGATTGAAGCTCACAAACTTCTCGAAAAACCAAAAAAACCTCATTGTAATACTACAGACTTCTAAACTATGTATTTGGTATTGTTTATTATTTACTAGATTACAACTTATTACATTCAACGACACAAAGATTACATATACTTGAGACAGCGATTTTAATATAACTTTTGATACCGTGTGGTGTTTTTATATGATATAAATCCTCCTTAAATTATTATTAAAAAAAAAAAAACCATTTTGGAGGGAGTTTTGATGTTTTTTGAAAATTCTGAGTACCTTTAATTAAAAGCCCTCATAAAAGTACATAAAATTTAACCCTGTAATTCCACTAACCAATCAATCTAGTTGTTCCCTAAGTTTATAATGTTTATTTTAGTACCAATGTGAAATAAAAAGTATAAAAAGTATTATATCCTTCTAGTATTATAGAAAATTCTCTTAAAACTATTAAAAACTCCCTAATTTTTTTTTTTTTTAAAATCTCTATTAAATTCTACTAGTGTCAATCAGTCTGCAACAGTTGTGCTAGCCTCCTGACTACAAAGTTGTTATACAGTATGCAACGGATGCATGCGCATTGACACTAACAACATCTCACCTTGCTAAATTATCGTATAGTTTTGAAAAAAGTATAATATTTCCCATCTATGCTTTTCATATTAAGTAATACCATAGGTAAAATAAAATAAAATAAAAAAATAAAATAAAAAAGTATTTTATATTCCATCTATATTATATATATCCTTAAAATATAAATAAAAATCATTCTACACCGTTAATGTTTGCTTCCTTACAATTTGTCTATGGTTAGCTTTGCAAATATTTATTTATTTATTTTTTGTAGATGCTAAAATGGACTTTTATCTTGAACCCAAAGTTTCCAAGAAGCTCTCACATGTCATGCATGGTAATTATTTGAGCTTTGCTACATAATAAATTCATCTCATTGTGACAATATCTAGAAATAAAAAATATATGAAAATTTATTTGTTATCATTATAAAACAAAATTTTAATATTTATGGTAATAAATAGTTTCATAAGTGTGAATATGGATAAATAGGTATTAAAGTGTTAAAGGATATAGTTTTCAAAATCTTCCAAATCTAGTTTAAAATTTATATTAATGGTTCATTAGACATATTTTTGTATATAAATTCAATAACAATTAAACAAATTTGATCAAACATATAATTACTTTTTGTGTAACATCAACAACCTTGAATCAACATTTAATTGTTATTATTGATGGACTATATATAATATTAAAAAAAATTATTTTAAAATTTGAGTTAATACAATGGATCCCATATTTATAATCGTTTTCTCCTATATTCTTAATACAATACATCCTCTCTACGTTAATCTCTTACATCATTGTGGCAACTGCGTAACAGATGTCAATCATCAGTTGTGTCAACCAACACTATCAGTCACTTCCCTACAATTTTTTTTTTTTTTTTTTAAATTCCCCAACCTAAAGTAAAGAGTCAAGGAAAAAGAGTTTCATTGTTTGCATGCACTTTATTTAATTAAATTGTCTAAATCAGTCTTAAAATTACTATATTATACAGTGTTCATTTAAAATTACTATGTTATTAGGAGTGGTTGGGAGCTTTTGAGTTTCCAAATTTGGGGTCGAGAGAGAAATCAAGTGGAAATTCAAACAAAGGTGAGTGGCAGCCAAAGAAGGAAGAACGAAGCAATATCCAATTTTTCTCCCAAATCGCAAACCCTTATTTTTTACAAAAATGCTACAGACACCAAATGCTGGTACCAAAATTTGCACCATCTATGTGGCATTGACTTGGACGTGGCCACGTAGGATACAACATATGCATTCAGTAAATAACGGCCGTCCAACAATTATGGATGTCGTCCATATTTATGGACGACCATTTATCATGAATAGAGGAGTCCAGAAAATATCAATGGACTCCTGTCCATATATTATGGACGGGAGTCCCTTTACTGTGGAGACCATCCACATTATATGGACGGCGTCCATATAATTTTAAAGCACAGAGTATTGGACGCCAATCCATCTCAAATAATTTATTTTTTTAAATTTACAATTTCTTTTTCATTTATAAAACCTATGGCTTGTTTAAGTGAAAATTTTTAGATGAAATATTCATTTTTAAAGCACAAAACTTCTAGATGAAATAAAGGGGAAAAAAAAAACTTTGATTTTTAAAGTTTAAAGCATGGATGCTAGCCATCTAATGAGGATAATGGCGGCCATCCAATGAGATGGACTGCACATGTCCATACTCAAATAATTTTTTTTTTAAATTTACAAAAAAAAATAAAAAAATGCAAAATAAGAGGACAGAAAAAAAAGTACTCACAATTTAGAATTTTTTTTAATTTTTTTTAATTAAACTAGAATTGGGTAAGGACGGCCGTCCATGTATATGGACACCCGTCCATATTTGTTTTTAAACTTTTTTGGACGGGGGCCATGAATGACGCGTGCATAGTAAATGGACACCCATTATATTATATGGATGGGAGTCCATTGATATTATCGTGGACGATTGTCCATTCGTGATGATTTGGTGTCCATAACTATGGCCCGAGTGTTTTGTAGTGTAAGGTTTTGTATGGAAAATGTGACTAGATTGAAAAAAAAAAAAAAAAAAAAAAAAATTAAAAATTTCTTAATCTTCAATAACAGGAAGCCAATTACTGAAATTGAAAGGATTGAAAACCAAAAAAAATAAATAAAAATTGAAATGAAGAAATGATGTCGCAATATCGTTTTAAAAAATACATACAAAAGAGACAAGATTTCACTTTTCTTTTCTTTTCTTTTAATATCTAATGTTATTTGCACTTGTGCCCGATGAGAAGATGAGAAGACTCCATAGACTCGTGGGCCTGTGCAACCACACAGCAGTTCACACTTCATGTGGAATTGCGGCATGCTGCTTCAATACATAGGTCTTCTCATGTTTTATAGCAAATGGGTGGTGTTTGGCTTGGGCCACACATACCATTTCATACCTCCAAATTAGAGTAAACAAACAATTAGAATTCATCTACAATCTAAAAGTTTACCTGGGGAAACATATTCAACGGAGAGGAATTAGGTGCTCCAGACACCGGTGGATCTTCTGCTGCACCAGTTTCACTTGCCTGACTTGCCGGAAAGCGAGCCACCGGCACAGCAACTTCGGCCGTTTCAGGAATGCCCTGAAGGTAGATCAATATCAGTAATTAAAATTTACAAATTAACAAAACATATAAAACCATTAAAATTTTACAGATGAGAATTTATGGAGGTTATACATACAGAGTACAAGTAATCCACTGCTCGCTCTGGGTTATTATAAGCTGCTTGAAGAGCACGAGTAACAGTTTCTTTGTCCCAGGTTCCACCACCCATATCCATTATTTCTTGAATTGTCTGCTCAAGATCATTTCCAGCAACTAACGTTGAAGCAGCTTGACCATAGGTATCAGTATTCGCACTGCAGCACAAATGCAAAAAAAATTAGCATCATAATTAATATATCCTAAACATCATAAAACGAGTAATGCTACACTTACAAAGAAATCTTACAAAGATCTCCATACAAAGTGATGTGACAAAAAATAAATGGAAGAGTGAATATAATGAGTTTTGACTTTTTGTTTCACTCTTCCATTCATTTTTTGTCACATCTCTTTGTATAGAAATTTTTATAAGATTTTTTTGTAAGTATAATATTATTGAAAACAAACACATGGGGACTGATTGAATATTATTTATTTAAAACATTCTTACAGAAAAGAAAAAAGAATACGGAGCGAATAATTCATCAAAATACTATTTGTACATTTCCTTAAATTTTTTCAACATAGTCAATCAATCATACAGCTGTTTCTCCCACAGTCTACATTTTATAATTAATCACTAAACTGAAATAAAAAAAAAAATACTTTATACCAGTAAAAGGACTAAAAGAATTATCAAATAGTAAAATTCTAAGCAACTGCTTTCTCAAACAAAAATGTCTTTCTATTCAAACATATATATCTTGCAGAAATGAGCCCAGAATATCCACATTCCCATCTTCTTCTAAGTATCAAGTGATGTATTCATGAAATTATTTCTCATATAGAACAACCACAACCTTTTAATTTATATAGATATCATCATGACTTCTCTTATTTGCAAAATGTGGTATAGAAACCAAAGGAAAATAAAATTCTGACTTAGACCAACAGATTTTAGATATAACGTATCAGTGCATCCAACAAAAGCACATTCATCAAACATTTAGATTCCATAAGTATAGACATCTTGTCCAACTAAACAATAAATATAATATTTGATAGAAACCAAAAACCTGGGATAGAGATTGAGTAGAGCATTTAAATGATGATTATTGTATAAGTTTGTCAATGGTCCTGACATGTCTTATCCCACTATCATGCTTGAGATTTGTTGAGAAGAAAATGAGAAAATTCCGAACAGTTTTTACTTGAAAATGACGAGAGAAAAATTAAAAAGGTGCTTGATTTGTGCAGAATACATTGTTAAGTTGAGACCAGAGGAAACAACGGAAAATGATTATGAAAAAGCTAACAGATAATGAGGAGAAAAATCCGTAATTTTATTTGTATAGTATGACATACAAATAATAGAAAATAATATAAGTGCACTTTTATTATCCCCGATAAGGAAACACCTACTACTGTCCTATCTTCCACCAGCAACAAATTGAAAAGAAAGGGATCTAGCATTCAAAAGTTAAAAGGATAACCAAGTCAAATCATGGATGGTAGAATTAAAATCTCATGCTTGAGCTCAATATGCTGAAGCTACAAACGAGTTCAGTGCCAGCTGCTTATGTTAAATTCCTCATTAACCATGAAAAAGAATGTTCATGTTCAAAACTTCATCATCTATGCATTAACTCATGAATTCCAGCATATATAACCATATATTAACATATGAAGCATAATACTAATGAACAGATAGAGCCCATACTCAGCTGTTGTCGCATCAGAAGCAGATGTGGTGGTCTTTGGAGCCCTGAAACATAATATATTACAAGATAAGCATGATAAATCCAGCCAAATTCAAAAAAAAGAAAAAAAGAAAATTTTTTTTTGAAAAGACTAAAACCTACGGTGCTTGTGCAGAGGTTTCTGGTGCAGGTGTAGAATTGGAGCTCGGTGCAGTTGTTGATGGAGTGGTGGAAGCAGGCTGTCATTATAAAATGGAAGTAGTATTCATATATACATGAAAAAAGAAAGAAAGAGACGATGTCCAACAAACAGTAAGAATGAGCAGCAATAATACCTGAGCAGATGAAGCCCCAGCTGAGCCCGATGTTTTACTCTGTAAAAAATAGCAAACACATTGAGATAATGGCAGTATAGATGCAATATGAAAAGGAATTAAACATACAAGGCTACATCAGAGCAGTCTAGACCCTATAAGTAAGATATATTTACATACAGGACCCTATATAGACTAACAATATTAGAAGCAAAATTCAATTGTATTCATGATACTACTGCGAAAATTCATATGTCAATGATTCATAAATAGTTTTTCACTTCCAGATATGTCATAGCTTCAGAGTTTTCTAGAAACTAACCCAAAATTGGGACATTGCGGCTCTTTTTCTGTTTCACTAGGGCATATTTCTATGAGATTTAATTGATTAAGCAATTTCTAGGTCCTGCATATTAATTGTAGAACTACCCTTTATAGTAAATGTAAGACACCAATCCAAAATAGGTGGAAAAAGTACTAATCACTATGTTACAAAATCATCTCTATAAATCAATGCTTCTACTTTATTTTCCTTTCTTTGTAATTGTTTGCCAAGCAACATTAAAATGACAGGGTTTTCTATTTTTTTTCAGGCAGTTCTTTTGAATAATACTTGAAAAAATATTTGCTAGAACAAAATTAATACAAAGCAATTAATAAGGTAAAGTTTGTAAAAGCTATGAACATTAGTAAAATAGTCATATTATTTTTGTTCTTGAAAGCATAATGTTTTATACAATTAATGCATAAGGATTTGTACAATTTTACAATTAATGCAATCATATGCCAAAGTTTTGAGTTTCTATTTATGTTTTTGAGTCATCTAGATTCCATGTGTCTGTTTCGTTATCCTTTACACATGGAAGGTTGCGATGAATTGATTAAGGGTATCTAGTCTCAGTGGTATTTTCTAAATTTAAGACTTTTTTAATGTCTGGCTTTATCCTTCAGAACTTTCAAATAACTAAGTAGAATTGATATGACAGCTATAAATGGTACAATACTGAATAATCACATATTTCCTCAAGATGGAAGAAGATTCTCTTTAAAAAGTAGTTTTGTCCCATCGCCTAAAGCTTGAAAAATTCCCTAGGGGCTGGCATATTCAGGCTCAATACATTGTTGTATTCCTACAGATACTTCTCTTTCTAACCACACAATTACAAGTACACCTATTGTGATTTCCAATACAGGTGTGAAAATAGGAACAAGCATCCATATACCTACATGTATAGATTTATTGTGGACAACTTGTTCACTGTTTAGTAAATCCTTTTTTCTAATTAATAAGTTTTTCCAGTTTCTTTAAGAAATAAATAAATAATGTAATAAAGACACCATCACTTGTTAGCCAAATAAAAACCAGTGAAATTATAACAAACTTTCTATCCTCGAATGACTGCGATATACAATACAAAAACCAAATTTGATCACCAATGAACATAATATTTGAATAAAATAACTAGAATGCATCTAAACCAATGGTTTGCCACAACATAAGCCAAAATCCAATAAATGTAACATTACAATATAAAATTACTCCTTTCTAAACAATGTACACGTATTAATATCCTCTTAGGATCTGACAGTAGCCAATGATCCCAAACCTATCTAATATAAACTTCTTTTCCAAAGCATTCACATAAACTTGTAAAGTCTCAAAGTATTCTACAATTTCAAACCCAGTGCACACATATATAAACTTAACCTTTTTTTTATTACAAAAATTCCTTCTTTTTTAAACATACAAATGTACTATTACCTTTATACAATTCTACATACTCTCCCATTTCTAACCTAGGCCCACTACGTGTACGCTTTAATAAAATTCATTTTTTAACAGTGCAAAAGTACTATAACCATGTATGCCACCATCTCAAACCCTGTGTACACTTATAAATTTAACTTTTTATGATAATTTACACATTACCCATCACCCTCATAGCATTCAACAACAATCTCCTATTTTGAAACCGGCACCATCAACATATAGTCTTCAATAATAAAAAAATAATAATAAAAAAATAAAAAAAATCATTTTTTTCAACAATACAAATGTATTATAACTCTTGAAAGTTCACACAAGAATATATAAAAATAAATAAAATAACCTAAAAAAAAAATTACCTTGCTAAGCATAACAACAAGAAAACCATCTTCAGAGACTTTATTATCAGCTAAAGTTGTCTCATCTTTCAACACTTTACCATTGTGAATTAACAACTGTTGCCCACAAGGGTAATTGTCTTTTCCTTGTACATCTTCTATGTTCTTCTTGACAGCCATAACCTTTGGTTCGACATACCAAAAACGACAAGTCATTTCATCAGTAAACGACAATAAAACACTACTAACAAATAAATTTCTAAATTCTATTCGCATAATTAACATAAACTGATAGTGAAAACGACGACGTACCGTATCGGAAGGCTGAACCTTAATCTCGAAATGGCTGCCCTTGAGAGTCTTTACAGTGAGCTTCATTTCGGCGAATTGGGAAGAAGGATGGGTCGAAACGACAGCGGTTTAATTCGAGTTATGTGTAGTGTAGAAGAAGAGAGACAGAGAGCCCTAGAAAACGCTTTTTAAGTTTTGAGGGAAGGAGAATAAAAGGAAAATGGTATATATTAAGTAACTCCCTAAAGTTTATAGAAATACACTGACACCTTTAAAGTTTTAAATAAATGGATGATTTTGATAAGTGATTATAATTCAAATATCAGATAATATTCTTTTACTTCCATTTCTTTTGTTTTTTTTTTTTTTTTTTTTTTAACTTTAGAGGGAAAAAAAAGTTTGTTGATTGAGAAAGTCTTCTCGTATATAGTCAAATATTATTTGTTTCTCGTTTCCCAGAAATTATAAGTTTTGACAGGAATTCTAATGTTGAATTTGATTTTGCAAAGGCGAGGTCATGATTTATGGGCTATAAAAAAAAAAAAAAAAAAAAAAAAATTGTAGTTTGAAGTTAAAGTTTGGAATAATTGATATAGTTGTAACATAATTGTTTAATTTGAAGGATTGAAGCTCACAAACTTCTCGAAAAACCATAAAAAACCTCATTGTAATACTACTACACTTCCTAAACTATGTATTTGGTATTGTTATATTATTTACTAGATTACAACTTTATTTACATTTCAACGACACAAAGGATTACATATTACTTGAGACATCGATTTTAATATCACTTTTGATACCGTGTGGTGTTTTTATATGAATATTAAATCCTCCTTAAATTATTATTAAAAAAAAAAAAACCATTTTGGAGGAGGTTTTGATGTTTTTTGAAAATTCTGAGTACCTTTAATTTAAAAGCCCTCATAAAAGTACATAAAATTTAACCCTTGTAATTCCACTAACCAATCAACTCTAGTTGTTCCCTAAGTTTATAATGTTTATTTTATTTACCAATGTGAAATAAACACGTATTAAAAAGTATTATATCCTTCTAGTATTATAGAAAATTCTCTTAAAACTATTAAAAACTCCCCTAATTNGTATACTCTTTGTTTTATGTTTCATATTAGTTCTTTTTGTGAAATTAAGTACCAATAGTTCAAGAGACATGCAGTGTAATTCTTACTTAAAGTAGGAGGCTTAGGAATATGGTAGTATTAGATTCAAATGTATTGCACATGAGGGGGAGTTTACACTTGAATACTATTGTTGTAGTTTTACCTAGCTTAATCTTGTTTTGGGTCAAGGAATAACTGAACACCATATAATTTGTAACCTTGTATGCATCCTGAATCTAGTAATTTTTGTGCAATTATATATATTTGTCAATAAATGAAACATATACGACATGAATTAATGTCTACAAACATATAATAAACCACCAAAAAATATTACCTTTTTAAGTAATTAACTACTACTGCTACTGCTAAGGGCTCGACGATGAAGCCTCTTGTCTTGGTTATCTCAGATACCAAAGAAGCGTTTTGGCCCGCAAATAAAAAAACAAAAAAAAACAAAGAAAAAAAAAGGCCAACCTAAAATCAACAGTTCATGAAGTGTAAAAAGTCCCTAAATAATCTGCTTTGAGCAGAGATTCCCCTTCCCTACATCTTCACATGTTCTCACTCTATTATTCACTCCCCCATTTGCCATATTTTGCACATAGCTAACAAGTGATGCTATACACCTTACTTTTCAACTGTTTATCACATAAGATAAATCACACTGCTCCACCACTTAAAATTTCTCCCTTGAACTGAAAACTTAGAAATGAACTCAATAATACTCTAAACAAACCATTCCCATAGAGCTCAATGAAACAGAATATTTGAAGCGCATAAGTTACTAGAAGCTAAATAACTATTAATAAGGTATAGGATCATTTACTCTGTAGCATCAAAACAATTCCACTTATATTCTAACATCAACACAAACACACAAAATTCCCTAAATAATCTTTGAGCACAGATTCCCCTTCCCTACATCTTCACATGTTCTCACTCTATTATTCACTCCCCCATTTACCATATTTTGCACTTAGCTAACAACATCAACGAAATACCTTTAACATCAACAACCAAAGAGCTTTTATTTATGTGTGATAACAATATCAACGAAATACCTGCAAGTGACAGTTTGTGATGGCAGAGGACGAAGAAGACAACTACAGGTGATGGTTTGCAGTGGCTGAGGCAGCAAAGAAGACGACTGGATAGTTAATTGGTGCTACCAAGAACTGAAGAAACAAGGGATAATGTGTTAATACGGGTTGCAGAAGACAAAGAAGAATTAGGGTTTATGAGATCTAATTGAGTGGAAGACATTTGGGCAAGAATGGGTTTTTTGTGGAAGAAATGGGATTTCTCTTAACCCAGGTTTCACTTAGTTGAAAATGGGTTATGGGCGCGAATGGGTTTTGGGCGGAAAATTTGCGATGGGAAGCCTTAGGGCAAATTTTTGTTTTTGTTTTTTTAACTTAATCCTGGACAATTAAACACTATCAAGGATTAATACTATACCCGTAAAGGAATGAAGTTCATCTGTACAAAATGCTTGATAGTCGAAAACTGTCAAAAGATTAAGCCTATAACAGTCAATGAATGAAATTTGTATAACTTCATTTTTACCAAATCCTTGACCATTAATAACAGTCAAGGATTTGGTAAAACAGTCAAAAATATCTCAAATTTTTGACAGTTTATAAACAGACAAGGATTAAAGTTATTGACTCTGTTTTAGAACAGTCAAGAAATTCTGTCAAATTTCCTGTCAAGGAATGCCTTTTTTCTTGTAGTGAAACAAACAAATCAGTTTGATTTTAGAGCTCTTATAAGTTCAGACAAATACCCCACAATTTCATTTTATATGCATTAAAAAGTAGCACAAATTCTGTGAAGAACCAAAGCTCCCGATTTGATATAAGACTATTTAGTATTTTGTTATTCGTTCCCATCCAATCAAAAAAGAACTCTTTTTGGTTGGATGGGTTAATTTCTTCATTTTGATGAATTGTAAAATAAAAAAGACCTTTCTTATTAATTTCATCAATTATTTGATAATTATCTGTTCCAATCTTAGTATTTTGATTACTGTTGGTACCAGTATCCATATCAACCCAAGATTGAATATCGATCTTATTTCTAAGACAAAAATTGAGAATTCTCCAATCAAAATATTTTCTATTCGAAATTTTATCTATACTAAGTCTTTCCATGGAAAGTAGGACTATATGCAAATGATGTTGCTCCCTAGTTGCCACATTAGACGAATGGAATATGTTCTAGCTTGATGTTGATTTCACTAGGTAAATAAGATATCCAAGCTACTTCAGTTTCAATTTGAGCAAGTGGCCTATATTCACTTTTTGTATTGCTCCTTGCCACTGTTTTTTGCTTCTTGGAACTGTAAGTTAATTAACAAGAATTCTAACTTCACTCAATCAATCAATGTAAATATAATTCAATCAAAATTGACAATATCCCAAAAATAATAGCACATAGATTATGGCATACTAAATTAATTGTTATGTGCCATGATTTTTTTTATTCTTGAATTCCTTATAGAAGAAGCGACAGGTTTTCAGAAGCGACAAAAAGAGTAAGTATTCCTTTCAATAATGCAAGTTAAAATGATGACTTCCAAAATGGGTTTCAGTTATCGGATGCATTTGGAAATGAGACTTAGCCAATTTAATAATAATTTATTGAGCCCTCTCATTAAAGGCCCAATAAACCCTGAAGCCCACACTTTGTCATTAGTCTAGATTAATCAAATGAAGTGAAATGGGCAATATGATCACATTAAGCCAATTAGGATATGTCAGTGGATTATACATTTACCCCACAATTAGGAAATTTTTCTAGCGTTCTCACACTTGGACAACATTAATTATTTTACTTTAATTTTAAGAAAATAAAACAATTTTGACTCCTAGAAAAATATAACTTTTTAACTTTAAAGTGACTACTATTCTAAGAAAACAACCACTAAAAAANCATTCACTCGGATCTCTTCTGTTTCCTCGATTTTGTCTGGATCCTCCTTTTCTTTCAAAAAAAGGGAAGGAGAAGTATCTTCTTCCGTGGATACCTCTTGTTCCTGTTTAGTCCCCCTTGTTTTGAAAGTCGTTTCTATTTCTCCTTCTGTTACTTCCGCACTTTCGTCCCTTTTTTGCCTTTCAAAGATTTCTTTCACTTTCAGTTTCTTAGTAAAAATGGGTGATGGTATTCTGCCTAAATAGTAGATACAAGTAATAAATAAGATAATACTAAAGATTCGAGCCATAGAATTTCTCAATTCTGACACAAGGTACTTATTAGATCGAATAAGTACATTAGACATAATAGAATTCTTTTGTTGTATCCAAACTAATACCAATCCAACCCATTTCATGAATAAAATGTGACCAATTAACCAACCAAAAAAACTACTTGTTACAAATAACATCTTGTTGTTTCATCGAAACATAGAAATTTGACTAATCTGGCTAACATTGAACTTGGTAAAATGAAATGGTTGAATAATTAAAAAATGAGATTATTTAGGATTACGCATTGAATGCTAAGATTACACATTGAATTTCTGATAGTAGATCCATAATCAAAAAAGTGTTTGTGAACGTTCCAGAAGAAATGAAACAAAAGATACGGTAGAGTTATGATAGTTATTGTATGAGGTCTACCCAATGCTAGATGCAGAGGCGCATAATAGATCGATATGAACATCATGAGCTATCCTGCAATAAAACCAGTTGTTGTTGATACCTTCTTCTCGATTCCTTCTTCTCTTTCTTCCATAACCCGAGCTCAGAGAAGGAAGAGATAAGAAGGCCTTATGGAGAGTGTGGTCAGAAATCCATAATAGAGTTCGACCACGACGATCGAATTGATTATCTTCATGTATAAGGATACTAGATTACCTAGTATAAAAGATTGAAAAATCATCACAAACCTCCCCTTTTTCTTTTCTATTTCAATTTCTGGATTATTATATGATGATTTTGCAACTTTTGATGAATTTTGAACTTTGCATATATAGAAATAGAAACAGATATACTAGAAACGACATCTTTTATGTCAATGACACCAAAGGGATATTAAATGAATGGAATTGGAATATGGACGAAATATAATGAAATAGAGCCGCTTTGAGGTTCCCTATGAAACGAGGCATGGAACGGAGCCACTACGAAGAAGTTCCGGGAGTTACGAAGGAAACTTTGAGTTCATATTGGTCATGGGTTGAGAACGGGAATTGAACTCTATGAGATAGAATCTCCCGCTATTCCTTAGTAGCTTAGTGGTAGAGCGGTCGACTGTTAACTGATTGGTCGTAGGTTCGAATCCTACTTGGGGAAATTTGATTCATTCTGAATTAAAGAATTTAGAATGTTAGAATGAAAGAGTTCGCTTTGACCGTTAAAAGTATCTTGTTTACTAGTGCTCTCACAGAAATTTAAAGGGACTTGGATGCTTTTAAATTGATAAAGAAAGAGCTTACCTTAATATCTTTGAATTTTGTAAAAATACCCATTTACAAACATTAGGAAACCAAAATTAACAATGAAGAGGTCATTGACCTAGTTATTTCTTCATTACTTAAAAGCGAAGTGTGTTTGGTGGAAGAGGTGAAAAGAAAGAAGTTTGGTGAAATTCACATAACTTTTTCGACAACTTTTAAGTCTTAATTAAACCATCAATCATGCTAAAAGGAACATAATTTTGAAATGATAGAAAGTAGTAGGTAAGAAAGACTGCATTATGGACTTTCCTGGAGTCGCATATTTAACTTTTCAAAGCCCTACAACCAATCCAATTCATATAAGCAAATCCTGCAATTTTTTATTTTGGCAAAAGCATTGATCTAGCACAAGAATGAGCACTCAGTGGTCTCAGTTTAAAATTAATATGGAATGGAGACAAAAGAATTATTAATGCAAATCATCAAGGTACCTTTCCACTCTAGTGATTACTGGCCTCATTGCGGTTTCTAGATGGAAACAGCACTATCAAATGATATATTATCAGTGTATTTTTATATATAAAAAATGACTTGGTAAATAGTATCTGGTTCCCCATTCTCTGCAGCCGCGATTATAATTATTGAATAGAGAGTCGACAAATTTATAAGCAAAAATTGAATCTCATTTTGGTCCCATATATGAGAAGAAAGATAATTTAATCATTCTACTAATCAGCAAGTACACATACTTTGAAGGCTTCCCACTTCTTTAATCAATCAAGAAAAGCCATATAATTAAGTTTTTTTGAGTAGGTGGTCTTAATTAATCTTCAATAAAGAGTGGTGATTACTGGGATAATGAAACTGAAAATTACAAGTTAAAGAAAATGCATAAAGGAAGAAAAGTAATAATGAAAAGGATGATAAACATTTTCTTTTTAAGATTAAAGCAAAACCAAGTGTATAAGGTAAATCAAAAGCAAAAGATGCATTGCTTAATTATTCTCACTTTATGGTTGCCTTGTTAAGGTATCTTCAAAAGTTTTCATAATTTAAGCTAAAATGATTGACAATTATGATCACAATCTTGGTAATTATAGCCACTGAGAAGATAATTGTTGACGGAACACCTTTATCTTCAATATAGATAATTATGATATACGCAAACTGTATGGGTCATGGCCCTCCAGGCCCATTGAAAAACCAAGGAGTAATGCTAAATGGGCCAATCCTATTTTCTAAACACCCTCCAAATTTACATGAAAATTACTTGTCTTTATTCTTTCTTTTAATCTATGATTTATATTAGCCTTATAAAGGAAGGTTACAATAGGTTGATTTTCGGCAAGTTTGGGTTATTTTGAATAACGATCAATTTTAAAAATGAATTCATGTATAAGAGTAATTAAGAATTTTAATTATCCTTGCAATTCTATTTGATTATTTAATCCGTAAAGCAATAATATGTGTCCCCATCATCCATCACTAGCTATTGGTAGCTGATCTATTGAGGCCACTCTTTTTATCTTTTTGCCTTTTCAGACAAGCAATCAAATTTTGACCAGGGAAATGAAACTNGAGGAGAGATGGACCAAAAGAAAGCCAAATTTAAACCACCTTAGGGTATTTGGGTGTGCAGCCTATGCACACACAAATGAAGGGAAGCTTGAACCTAGGTCACTAAAGTGTGTATTCCTCGGTTCAGATTATGGGAAAGAACATCACCAGGGGTTAAAGTAATAATCAGTAGGGATGTTATTTTTAAAGAAAATATTTTTTCCTTTCAAAACTACTAACCTTGATGCAGGTACCTCTAGCATAGATCCTATGAGTCAAGAACCAAATGCAGGGACACAAATTGAGGTGGAGCCCTCAAGTATTCAACCTAATGAAGAAAATCCAGATGAAGAAACTGAAATGGCAGCCCTGGATCATGACTAGGAGGGTGAACCAGTTGAGAACCTTGAACCAACCCAAGAAGAACCCCCGGTAGAGAGATCAGACCTCTAGCAAGATATTCCTATGCTGATCTAATCTACATTGCACTGGTGGCTGGAGCTGAAGTAGTAAGATCAGAACCTGATAGCTATAAGGAAGCAATCAGATCAAAGGACAAGGACAAATGGCAGGCTGTGATAGAGGAAAAAATGCAGTCCCTAAAAGTCAATAGAACCTGGTCCTTGGTCCCAACTCCAAAAGATCAGAATCCAGTTGAATGTCGATGGCTATTCAAGGTAAAATAAGGTATAAACTCTTCTGACCCTCCTAGGTACAAGGCTAGACTTGTAGCTAAAGGTTACACACAAAGGGAAGGCATTGACTTTAATGAAATTTTATCACCAGTAGTTAAGTATAAAACAATTAGGATTATGCTGTCTGTAGTTACACATTATGACCTAGAACTAGAGCAACTGGACGTTAAGACTGCTTTCTACATGGAAACCTAGAAGAGAAAATATATATAAGGCAACCTTCTGGATTTGTTGATAAAAGACTTCCAAATTATGTGTGCTTGCTTCATAATTCGTTGTATGGACTAAAACAGTTCTCTAGGCAGTGGTACAAAAGGTTTGATTGCCGCTCCACACCAAAAGTGTGCACCCCAACTCTGCACACCACAATTCAAAAAGGGATTTTAGGAGCACAACGCAATAGACCCCGACCCGAAACGCACAGTATTCTACTTTTCACGATTTTCACAAGTTTTAATCTTCGAAAAATCATTAAAAAAGATCCGCTCGTCCGAATCGCTTTGTTCCTATTGCATTCCATTCCTTGAATTTTTTCCCACCACCATGAAAAAAATCAAATCAAAACGACGATCCGCGAAAAGATCGTCCCTCGATGCCCCGAACACCCCTGCCGTGCGCGAAAGTAAGGCTGCCGCTCCACACCAAAAGCGTGCACCCCAACTCTGTACACCACAATTCAAATGGGGATTTTAGGAGCACAAAGCAACAGACCTCGACCCGAAATGCACAATATTCTATTTTTCATGATTTTCACAAGTTTTAATCTTCGAGAAATCATTAAAAAAGATCCACTCGTCCGAATTGCTCCGTTCTTATTGCGTTTCGTTCCCTGAATTTTTCCCCACCGCCATGCAAAAAAATCAGATCAAAATGACGATCCGCGAAAAGATCGTCCCTCGATGTCCCAAACACCCCTGACGTGCGCGAAAGCAAGGTTGCCGCTCCACACCAAAAGCATGCACCCTAACTCTATGCACCACAATTCAAATGGGGATTTTAGAAGCACAACGCGACAGACCCCGACTCGAAACGCACAGTATTTTATTTTTCACGATTTTCACAATTTTTAATCTTCAAAAAATCATTAAAAAAGATCCACTCGTCCGAATCGTTCCGTTCCTGTTACGTTCCATTCCTTGAATTTTTCCCCACCGCCATGCAAGATCAAAATGACGATCCGAGAAAAGATCGTCCCTCGATGTCCCGAACACCCCTGCCGTACGCGAAAGCAAGGTTGCCGTTCCACACCAAAAGCGTGCACCCTAACTCTGCGCACTATAATTCAAATGGGGATTTTAGGAGCACAATACAGCAGACCCTGACCCGAAATGCACAATATTGTATTTTTCATGATTTTCACAATTTTTAATATTCGAAAAATCATTAAAAAAGATCTGCTTGTCCGAATCACTCCGTTCCGTTCCGTTCCTTGAATTTTTCCCCACCGCCATGCCAAAAATCAGATCAAAACGACGATCCGCGAAAAGATCGTCCCTCGATGTCCTGAACGCCCCTACCGTGCGCGAAAGCAAGGTTGCCGCTCCACACCAAAAGCGTGCATCCCAACTCTGTGCACCACAATTCAAATGGGGATTTTAGGAGCACAACGCAATAGATCCTGACCCGAAATGCACATTATTCTATTTTTCACGATTTTCACAAGTTTTAATCTTCGAAAAATCATTAAAAAAGATCCGCTTGTCCGAATCGCTCCATTCCTGTTGCGTTCCGTCCCTTGAATTTTTTCCCACCGCCATGCCAAAAATCAGATCAAAACGACGATCCGCGAAAAGATCGTCCTTCAATGTCCCGAACGCCCCTGCCGTGCGCGAAAGCAAGGTTGCTGCTCCACACCAAAAGCGTGCACCGTAACCTTGTGCGCCACAATTCAAATGGAGATTTTAGGAGCACAATGCAATAGACCCCGACCCAAAACGCACAGTATTCTATTTTTCACGATTTTCACAAGTTTTAACCTTCGAAAAATCATTAAAAAAGATTCGCTTGTTCGAATCGCTCTGTTCCTGTTGCGTTCCGTTCCTTGAATTTTTCCCACCGCCATTCAAGATCAAAACGATGATCCGCGAAAAGACTGTCCCTCGATGTCCCAAACGCCCTTGCCATTCGCGAAAGCAAGGTTGCCGCTCCACACCAAAAGCGTGCACCCCAACTCTGCGCACCACAAT